TCGTATAAGTCATGTGACAAAAGCCAGATGTGGGAATCTGAATGGAGGAAATAGGTATTGGTTTGAAAAGGATAAAAGGCTATGCGAATTGTGTAATTGTAAAGAAGGAAGTTTAAAACATTTAATAAAGGAATGTAGAATTGTAAAGGAAAACAAGGTATGTAACCTTAAAAAAATGGTAAAGGAGGTTGCTCGTGTAGAATTGCAAAAATGTGGGGTAGATTAAGTAATTTGTATGAGAAAAAAGGGCCGAAAACTATAACAAGCGCTGGATGAATATTCATATGTATGTAGTTGCAAATAATATAGATGGAGTATTGAAAGTTATTGTATAAGAAGTGAAAAGATTGTAGAATTAGTAAACAAAATTGGGTCTGTGATTTAAATCACTTTCTGTCAAGAACGTAAAGTGTGGAGAATATGTAAATTATGTAAAGGTAGAAAACCTTAGGATTAAGGAAATGCTACAATTTTGTTTGTATTGATCACTATACTGAGTCCGTTTTCTGGACCTAATTGGTTGACAACTAATAAATAAATAAATGTTATATTTAATTACACTCACAGCAGTAAAAAAAATAAATAACAGACTTATAGCTAAGATCACAAGATTTTTCCTCGTAATCAATAAATAGGGGGTTAGCGTAGCTTTTGTTCGGATATTGAACGGAAAAGGATCATGGTTTTATTGTGAATATGGATGCCATATATATAGATATACAGATGAGGCTATTACGTATAGCAGACGTTATACAAAGACTGATGCGTACTGCAATGAGAAACAGTGTTGGCAAAGAGGATCTTCGCATACCCCCACCGCCTTTGGAACTTTCTGTTGGAAAAGTTCCGAAGCCAATCAGAGCAGAGCTACAGCAGGAGTGTAGGGGAGGACTTCTTTCTCCTATGAATAATAACGCAAGCGCCTATCCCCATACAAACCAGGGCGCTTACTGGTCTCTTTAATTAAATATATGAAGGATCCCAGATCTCGACTAATACATCAGGACGTCGCATTCGCCTGCCTAGTATTGACATACCCGCTTTTTCAGGGCGCCGAGAAAACTGGGAGTCATCCAGGGACCTCTTCAGAGCGTTGACATATGATGATCAACATCTCAGTGATGTGGAAAGACTCTATTACCTTAAATCGTTAGTACAAGGAGATGCCAAAGCAGCTCTCGACACCATCCAGATAGTCAGCTCTAACTACTCAACTGCCTGGAAGCTCTTAGAGACTCGATTTGAGCCCAGGCGACTCCTGGTGCAGGATCACATCATGGCGATTAGAAATATTAAGCCATTGCAGAGCGAAACAGCTGGTGGTCTGCAAGGATTATAAGATACTCTTTAGAAACACAGAGACCAACTTCGGGCTCTGCAGCAACCCGTGGATTAATGGGACGTATGGATCATTGCATTTGCAGCCGTGGGCATGGACTCTCTATCTAGGAGAGCATGGAAAGACGAACTTGAAAGTCTGGAAGTCGCTCAGTCTGTCCCCGGAACTGATGTGGCCAGCTTCGAGGTACTGTTAAACTTTCAGCGGCGACGCTGTCACTCTCTTTCATCAACGGCCACCTCCTCTTGTCCTGCCAGTCAAGCCACGCGCNCGCCAGGGCACGTCGCGGCTGTCATGGCCGTCTCACTCACACAACATTACTTTTCAGTATTGTATGTACATAGGAAAGTAAAGTGTAGTGGTAAAGCGCAATATTTGAAATTTTGAAATGAATAAGGAAGACAAGAAAGAATATTATGGGAGCTTAAAAGTTTCAGAATTGAAAAAGCTTTTAAAAGGGAAAGGAGCAAGAGTCAGTGGAAGAAAAGCAGAACTCGTGGAGGAAAAGTGGTCGAGGCATAAGCCATGACTTGGGAGCTGCAAAAATGTTGGTCTCCCAATTGCTTCGAGCCACTTTTTTTTATCACACTATCAGAAGGAAATTTAAATTTCACTTTCTTATCGCAGGATATTACACTGCACTTCATTTTTCCTACTATCTTTAAACGTAAATGCAAACAAAAATTGTCTGCAAACAACAGCAATCATTTACAAAGGTTATGTCTTCTACTTTGCTCATCACACAGATAGGCTCACGGACACAATACACAACTGTAAATTTAACGGTGTGTAAGTGCGACGGCCATGACAGCCGCGACGTGCCCTGGGGCCATCTGATTCAAGCTTGACTGTAAAAGAGCCTCATAGGCGCTTGCGTTGTTATTCATAGGAGAAAGAAGTCTTCCCCTACACTCCTGCTATAGCTCTGCTCTGATTGGCTTCGGAACTTTTTCAACGGAAAGTTCCGATAGCGGTGGGGGTATGCGAAGATCCTCTCTGCCAATACTGATGAGAAAGCGCGAAGTCGTGATACTAAGTACTACCATGAACGAACCCGCTGGCGAACCACCTTAAAGCGCGCGCCTCGAGTACACCCAAGTGTAAGTGATTCTTTCCAGGCAGTGACCCTAAATGGCAACACCGCATATTGCTTCCTCTTGATCGACCAGAGATGGTGTCAGTGTCTGTAGGGTAACCAACTTTTTGCCATAAAAGCAGCAATAAAGAGAGAGAGAGAGTAGAGAGTGTATATAGCATCTGCGTCGTCTGCTAGTGTTTTTGTTTGTAGCATACTGGAGTCATGGCAATTGTCAACGTTGGTTACATTCACACATTGAAAAGTGATGACACTCTACGTCTACTGAGAAAAAAGCAATACTGTATAGCTACTGCCAGGTAGATGTGCTTCTCCGTTGAAAGCTTTATTTCGTGTAGATTATCAAGAGCTATCGGTTTTAACAATCTGTTATCATTGCTTAAAAGGTAGATAGCAAATACTATCTAGCTTATTGCTAGAATAGAACTTTTTGTCAGATAAGTAACAATTATTATTTATTTTTAAGAATTATACCCTGGCAACTAGATACTTTAGGTGTGTATGTTTTTTTCAGAATCAACTATCTGTAAGATAGATAGATAACTGCATCTATTTTGTGTTGCAAGGCATGCATGTATTATATTCAATTTTCAGAGAGATCGACAAGTTATTTTTGCAATTTATGCCTTGATCGCCGCATGATCGCTCTCCCCTAACTGCACTCTCTACATTTTCTCTTTAAGGGAGTTAGGTATCGTGATATTTCTATAGAATTTTTTTTTAAGCCGTAACTTAGACCAACAGATAGAAAATAAAAAGTTTGGTGCCATTTGCGACAAAATTAAAATTTATATCTTTTACTTTAAAACCAACTACCAAAAAATAGACCCTCCACACAAAAAAAAATTCAGCCGCAACTTTGCCAGTTAATTTTTTACACTAATTTATGACAAAAACCAAAGTTGCGGTAAATTTTTGATTGAATAAATAAACTAATTAATTTTTTGGTTGATTTAATAAACGGGGGAAATTAATCGCTAATCGTATTTATAATCCTCGTCTACGATTATAAATGATGAATTTTTAGATAAGATTAGCGTTAGATGAGCGGTCATTTCACCTCCTTTATTTAATCCAAAAACTACCGCAACTTTGGTTAAATTATAAATCGTTAAAAACTAACTGGCAAAGTTGCGGCTGGATTTGCTTTTGAGTAGGGAACCATTTTTTTGAAGGACGGTTTTCGATTAAGATAAATTCTAATCTTGCCGCAAATAGCACTTTTACGGTGGATCTTTTTTCTTTCCCTGTTGGTCCAAGCTGTGGCTGGATCATAGAATTGACCACATGGCACTACTTAAATACCCACATAACTCTTCACCAGAATGTAATATGACAAAAATATTTCGGATCTCCCCGAATCATGAGGTTTTTTTATTTCAGTGAGAGTTACGGTTGGTTTCAATTTTTGACCACCCTCAGGCCTTTGCTTTTGGTATATTTCGCATGCAGGCAACACGTTAGCTACCTACTTAGGCAGACTCGTATTTTATAGCTGAACAAAATTTACAGCAAATATTTAAGTTCAATAAGACATTGTTTATGTAAATATTTTGATTGTTTTCGTAGTGTTAGTAGCATGGGCAGCAACAAATAGATAAAAAATGATGTGTATGAAAACTCAAGTGTTTTACTTGGGGCATTATTTTTACGTTTAGACGTTTACTCCAACCTCAGTAAGAAAAATATACTTTTTAACTTGAAGCACATTCAACTAGGGCAAGAAAAAGGAGTCTTGCACAGTTGGTGCCGGCCCTGGTGACATGCTGCACCAATTATAGAAAATACTATCGTAGATTAAAGGTTAAAATGTACAAGTTTAAGAATATCACATTTATGATGCCTAAAAATGTTGAGACTTTTCTGAGTTTGGTAACAGTAAAACCACTTGCACTGGCACAAAAATACTCTAAGCTTTGCCAGAAAGGGGGGAAGAGTATACACACAAAAAGAGCAAAGACAATCTCTAACGGAATATTAGAAGTTATGCATTCTGAATCTTTATTTTTGTTCCTCGCAGAGATGATTTCTTTAGATTTTTTGCAGACTTCTTACAACATCGATTAACTTGTTATTCGTCGAAAATTCATCAACTCAATTTTTAAATAATTCCAATCAAATTAAGAATCTACAACTTTATTTGTGATAAAAACCTTCTTCTAATTGAAGTAAAGAAAATTTGTTACTAAACTAAAAATTTAGAAAAAAATATTTGACTTTAACCAATACTTGAGATACATGGGTAGGTACATGTCATATTAATGGTAGTTTTCCTACGAGTTTGAAAAGTCTTTGTTTGCGAACCGAGACGTTTGCGGCCCGAGCCGAAGGCGAGGGACGTAACGAGGTTCGTAAAGGAGACTTTTCGAACGAGTTCCGGAAAACTGCTTTTTCGCCCGAGGAAGTACCAGCCTGCCGAAACCACCCGAGGGCGGAAAAATAATAATTACATAGCTTTTGCCGTACTTTTCAAAATAACTACAATATTCTATTTCTTTTATCTTGTAGAAGAAAAGAGGATTGTTTTCACTGATCAATAATCAAAGTATTTGTGATTGCACTTACTTAACAGTAGCATTCCCAAAAACGTTCTGAAAAGCCTCACGAACAGGAGATACTGTCACATCTTTGTCAGAAGCCACAATGATCTCAATATCTCCTCCGGAATCTAAAACGTAGAATTCTAAAAATGCACGGAAATACCAGTGGGAATCAAATAACATATTTTTTATTGGATCAGAACTTTTGATGATCTGTATACTACAATTGAACCCATGAAAGTAAATTTTGGGGTTATCATTTTTCGTGACTCAAATGAATTTTTCACTGTATTGTTACTGAACAAGTTTCATAAACTCGAGAATCATTCAGTCCTAATACATTTCATATTATTAAATACAATAATAAACTAATCATCAAAGTTAAAGACGTTTTCGACACTTAAACTTGTAACACTTTAGCATTTCCAGTAGCAAAGTTTAAGTTCACGCTCTAAAAATAAGACATGATTTGTAAACCAGTTTTGGATGCTAAAATTAGACGTGAGAATAAGCTCCACGTATTGGAAAGATTAGGTGTGCTTTTTTTGAAATAGCTGTAAAATGCTTTTTGTATCAATAAAACAAAATTAAAGTGAAGATAAGAGCCGGATTTTAAATGTAAATTGAAAAAATTACAATACTATAAATTTTTAAAGAGATAAACACGACAATGAGTCATGTACCTAAACTACGAGGAAGACAAAAAAAAACGTCACGAAATATACTCACAAATAAACTCACGCATTTGTGGATCCAATGTTGTGATCATGGAGTTGACGCTGCTTTTGGCCTTTTCGGCTACCTTGCTGAGAACACTGCTATTCGCAACGGTATCTTTGACCCACGAGAACAGACTTCCGGCCAGAGCCCCTGTATCCATGGTAGGACTGTCGGGTGCTATTAACACCACTGGTCCCTTGTCTGTAGGAGAGTCTACGGCCTTTGGCTCTGCTGTCTGGACACCTTGGGGTAACTGTAGACTCGGTGGCTTGACTGCCTCTGGTGTAGTAGATGGCACATTTTGTGCTGAACTCGTTACAAAGGTAGGAAGTGCGCTTGGTGGTGCAACGTTGGACAACAAATTGCCTGTGCTAGCTGGTGCAGATAGTACTGGCCCAGGTGCCGTTGCATTTGAGGCATCTGAAAATATATATAAATGCAATGTCAACTCATATGCAAGATCTGCACATTTGAGAAGCTGTAAAGCCTGAAATAACGAAATCTTCAATATTACAAGTACTTGCAGTAAGGTAAATAATAAAAACACACCTGGCGCTGATTAGCATTGGCGATTGATCATACTCTTTGTTTAGGTATATGAATTACAGGTTATTTTTAAAAAATTGGGGGATATACGAGAGTTGTGTATCAGTAGGTACATTGAGAAAATTGAATAATTAAGACTCATAAGTGGAAATAAAACCTTACCGCAGTCCTCCAGCTTCTTGTCGACGAACTCGAAGCTAGACTCGCCGTTCGACTCGTCGGTCATTGTTAGACTTCTGGTTGTGTTGTAGGATGCAGCTTAAATGCTTGTGACCTCGTGTTAATAAAAATATAAAAATCAGTTGGTCCTGCCAGGACGCCCGAGTCTGTTGGACAAAGTCAGGACGCACTGCACCAGACTAGATCTGAATCTGTAATCTGGACACACACTGGCTCTGCAAACGCTGAAACGCAGAAACGCTGCGGTAAGTACAATGGTCGTGCGGTGCATACGCAACGTGAGCATGAGCGCAGCCTCTCCCGATCAGAAATCTATTGAGGTTCCCTGAGGTCCCTTAAGAGTCTGTGCAGGCAACCTCACGAGGACCTACACTGAAGGTATAAGACGGGGTGTCACTGTGTCAGGTGAACCGTGAACGGTAAGTATACAAGAATCTATAGCATTCTAGCCTCAACCTTACCTGTTCAGTAATTATAACAGAAACAGGTGCCATGACTGCCATGGCATCAGAGAATATATATAGTAATCCATTACATTACGGGACAACGGGAAACGGGACACACCAACGCCACCCTAGCCCGAGAAAAATTAAATATTCAATAAACAAATTAATGGAATCGACGTATTAAAAACTGCTCTTTTTAGAAATGCAATTAGTAAAAACTGCTCCTTTCTATTTATTTAATTAATGCAAATTAAAGTGCCCGGTAACAGGCAATACTTCGCGAGTCATTATAAAACTAATAATCAATATTTAAAAGAAATTTTTTTTAGAAAAAACTGCTCTTAGGGCGCTTCAAATTGCTCTATGATTTAATTGCAGATTCAAAGTGATTAATATCAATAAAATATTAAAAACTGCTCTTTTCAGAAATGCAATTAGTAAAAACTGCTCCTTTCTATTTATTTAATTAATGCAAATTAAAGTGCCCGGTAACAGGCAATACTTCGCGAGTCATTATAAAGCTAATAATCAATATTTAAAAGAAATTTTTTTTAGAAAAAACTGCTCTTAGGGCGCTTCAAATTGCTCTATGATTTAATTGCAGATTCAAAGTGATTAATATCAATAAAATATGAAATAACAAATAGCTTGGGTGAACCAATGGTAGATAGGAGTTTTTGTTGCTGTGAGTTGGCTACACTTGGTTACTTCATGCATGCGCGCAACGCATCTTCTGCCAAACTGGCACCAGTCACCAGTGGCTCTCATTTGATGAATTACGGATTATATCCTATAAAATTCATATTTTTTAAGGCATAAGTATACTTGTAGTTTTTTTTAAACTTTGCACATTTTTGTTGCAAAAACATTCGCTCTTTTCCAATGAACTAAAAAGTATTTAAAGTCAAACAGTGAGGAAAAATAATACGTAACAAAAAAATTTTCTAAACGATTATGATTCCAATGTAGAATTATTTCTTTAACATCCGTAGGTAAATGAAAAAGAAGGATAATGAGCCTTGTGTAATTCTATAATTATTATTTTATAATCATGTATGAATGCACACGTTACACAATGTGCAGCAAGTATAATTGCAACTGTTCAAATACATATGGACTCTTACGATAACATTTCATGAATCATACAAATGTATTTACATTAAAAATTAATTACTATAAAGTGTTATCAAGGAAGATGGAAACAAATACCTACATTTATTTTATCTTAGAACTTAGTGTGTCCACACTACTTGTGACATAGTGTCCCATCAAAGTATTTTTACCCCTGCTGGATTTCTTCTTCATGCAAATATTCGTTATATCGTACAAAATGCATTAAATGATATCACTTGGGGAACTTAAACATAGCGATAAACTTCAAATATTGATTACTTTGTACATGAAAATAGTATTTTAGACATGCAAATAAAATGTTCGTTTACTAAATTATTAATTGTATATTTATCTCTCATTCTTTGTATGGAAAATACATTTATTTATGAATAAACAAAATACAATATAAGTTAATTTTAGCTGAGTAACCTGTTTCTCTGTCGATTATTTTTATAACAGATAAATATCGTTATCTGAACATGATTAAAAAACTTCAATACAACATTTTGAAGAATAAGTTTATCAAGCAAAGCGAGAAAATTTATGTCTGGTAAATAAATATTGTTTTGTTTTGTTTAGTTTTTGTTGTTTTGTTTAGTAGTTTAGTACAATGCATCTCTTTCCATAGCAGTTCGTCCAGAAATTTTTAGATAATTTGTCTACTTAGCAGAACAATGTATTTTGGTTCAATTTTTTCAGATACTTCATTCTAACAATTGCTCAAAATGCCTCTTGGATTCTTGTAAATACGAAATTATGGTTTTGAATTCCTGATAATCCCAATAATAGTAATTCTAATCTAATAAATATGAGCATAAATACAATGGCACATACATAAATACTGCGTTTAATACACTAATCTCTTTATGTATCAATACAAACTTTAGAATTGAAAAGTTTTAAGAAAAATAAATAATAGTTGGTACTTTGAAAATAAATAAATTAATATCTGTTATTGTGATATTTTTTAGGGCTCAAATAATTCTTTGAAATACAAAATGAATTATTCAATCAAGCCTTCCTTCTTTTGTGTCCACTGATACTAGTGCCTGCAGATGTTTATAATCTTTTGCCCAGAATGCACATAATAAAGTGACCAAAGGGTCTCCGCAGGACATAGCGTACCTCCAGAGTGTGTTGTGCAGCAACGGGGCTTGGCCAGCTCACCATCGCAAATACAAAGCTGAAGTTTATCATTTACTGCTCCACTCTTTCCCATTAATGTTTATGCAAGACTACTTGTATCTTTTCTAATCCATTGATGATGAAATAATCTCTTGGGTTTAATGGCCCCTCGTTCAACTCATGCTTGTAAGGTTTCTCAGTTTAGTTTCATTGGGCATCAAGAGGGACAGTGCTCTATTTTTCTCCCAGTGCGTCTGACTAAAATAAACAAAAATTGGATAAAGTTACAGAAAAATATGAGGTTGCTTGATGAAAGTGTAAAAATATTAATCACTTGAAAGCTTTGACAGACATATCTGCTCGAACTTCACGAGATGCCTTATCGATGTGACTCGTCCTATGCTGTACCTCGACCCGGAGCTCGATCTACAGGGAGTCCTTAACGATCCTCTGTACCGAAGTCTGTATAAACTCATCGAAGCTGTCAAGTTGCTCTTGGACGAAACCTTTCTCATTGAAGTCAGTGTCAATGACGATCCAGAAGGCTTTGTGATACAGATTCGCCAAGATCTCCTCCGTACAACTTCAAAGTAGAAGAAAACCGTATGCAAAAATTGCCTGGGTTAGCTTAAATCACAAAAGTATATAGTTATCATTATATTCAAATAACAAATAAAACAGACAAAGTACAAAAATATAATTTTCATTATTTAAAAAATCTTAAAAACACTTGATGAGCGTCTGGCAATTTTCAGACTGCGACTACTAAAGCTTCGGTGGGCGATTCAATTCAAACTAACATATACTTAACACTAATAAATTTTGTTTTAAACAACGAAATAGACACCTTATTTATAGTACAACTATAAGATGTAATTGCATTATAACATTAGAACAACAATTAGCTTTTAAAAGTAAAAGATTTCTCGTTAAAGTATAATCGATGAAAAGATGTTTTCAAAAATGATTGTAAATTATGAGATTTTCCAAGTGTGGTGTCTAAATGACTTAACAATAAAATAATCGCGCATAACAATTTTATTACGAATACGATATATTATCTATTTTGCTGTTTAAAACAAATCACATAAGTATTCAGTATATCCGTCAGTTTGAATTGAATCACCCGCCAAAGCTGTGACCCGCGAAATTTGAATTTACTAGTGTATTGTACTTTGCAATAATGTATACTCATTTTAAAAATTATGAGGAAATTTCTCTGTATATATTACAATGCTTTCATCTAGTCAATTATTATACGATGTAAAAATATGGAAATTGAACAAATTTTGGCATCATATAAAAAGCAATACATAAACTGGAAAGCAAGAAAAAAGGAGAATTACAAAGCTGCATGTTGGCGTGAGATTTTAAAGAACTTGTGTGTATCTGTCAGAGATTTGTTAATTTTTTTCATGAGAAGTGTGCAGAAAAATATTCTTATATTTAGCTCATTTTTTTGAATGCGAGTGCATTACTAGTGATACTTTTTTCGTTGTATGAGATTTAATGAATTTTGTTGTTAGCTGAGGGCATAAAAATGGGAAAAAGAGGGCCAAAACCATCTTTATCGACACTTCAAATTTTAGATAAATTGATTCAATTTGACATTATTGATGGTGACAACTTGAAAAAAAAAAGGAAATCAAGTATGGTCAGATTGATTCTTTGAACAAACTGATTTCACCCGAAAATTTATATTTTTCTGTACGACAAGATCGCAATAACTTGAAAACAGAATATTTGAATCATAGAGGCTTAACAGGAATTTTTAATGAAATCAGCACTGAAACAGTTATAAGAGACGGCAATCTTGATTGCGAAAGTTCCAGTGATCCAGAACCACCACAAAAAAAAAGAAAAATTAACAAGAAAATTTGAGATTAGGATTTCACTTGAATCTTGGAAAAATATAGTATCTGTCACTATTGTCAACAAAGATGGAAAAGAAACCGAACGATTGCAGTTGGGCTGGACCAATGAGCTTGTTGATGCAGCTTACAGCCAGCACAAAATTCAATGCCCTTACTCATTTAAACGTCATTTGGTGAATGAAATTGATTATTATTTAAAAGCTAAAGGAGAATGCAAAGAACGTGGTGCCCCTATAAAAATTGTGTGTCATGATAAACCATCTAGTCAAGAGGATGTTATTACAACTGTAAACACTATTGATACAAACGAAATAAGACACAGTAAGAAAAGATGACTGACTGGTGCAAAGAGGGCACACGTAAAAAATGAATTTTTGCATTTAAAACCAAAGCAATGGAGAAATAAAAAAACAGCTAAAAATACGAATCATGGAGACCCTGAGCCTCCTGATATGAGTAATTTACCTTCTCTTCGAAAGGCAAGACAAGAAGCAAGAAATGAAGAATTAGGTGTGCTAAAGGGGTCTACTGTTTTTGAGTCGTTATCCGACATCAAGGCAAAAACTGAATACAGTAAGTTCATACAAGATATTGGCTACGATAAATTCCATTTTTTTTTTTTTTCTCCTGAACAAACTGCATTGCACAATGATATTGTGAATTACTTAAATAACCCAATGGCTCTAGATGCTACAGGCTCAGTTACACTAAAAATGCAAAGAGGTAAAGATATTGTTTCTGCAGATATTTATCTATCAGTAATGAGCACCTATATTGATACCAATATAGTTCCTGTGGCTCAAATGTTATCTGAAATAAATGACACTAATACCTATTTGTATTGGTTAAATACATGGGTAAAAAAAGGAGCTGCTATTCCCAAATACGTTAATATAGACATGGGTGGTGCCATTCAAAATTCAGTTTCCTTATGCTTTAATAATATGACATTTATTACATACAACGACAGCTGTTTAAAAATACTGATGGGCGAAGACAAAAATATTAAACTTAATACCCAGATAAGGAACGATATTGCTCACTTGATGAAAGCTGTATCAAAGTGGCCTTGTTTTAGTGTAAATGCAGATTATAAAGTTAAGCTACTATTCAAGAAAGTTGTAGGATTTATGTCAACAGTATCTAATTTTAAAAGTTTTGATAAGTGTCTTGAAAATGTATTGGTGCTAGCTCTAAGCGAAAATTACTCTGCAGTTACAAAGAAGGCTTATGAATTCATTATTTTGTGTATTAAAACTTTTAAGCTTGATGATGACATTTTGAGCCCTATCGATGGCAATGATGAAAAAAAAAAAAAGGAAATTGTAGAAATTTGTACAGAAAACGAAAGTATTATGAGTACCTATATTGAAATGTCAAAATCCAAAGTTGTGGAAATCATAAAAAACTCAAGCAATACTGTTTTTTCTCAAAACAACGATTACTATTTACCAGATTTTGCTCAAAGAATCATGACATTGTGTCATGAATTTCCAAGCTGGAGCCAAGTCATGAACATTTATTTTGAAAACCCTCACGTTGTTGCGACATCAGCACGAGCTGAAACATGTTTTGGTCAAATAAAAGATGAGTTAAAACAAGATGGTAAATGTGAAAGAGTAGACAAATTTTTAAAAAGACACATGGATTCTATAGATGCAGATATGAAAATTTCTAGGGCTAAATTCATAAATATAGTGCCAAACAAAAATAAAATGCCCAAATCAAAAAAATCAAGTCAAAATTCACATTTGCATGAAATATATAGAAAGATGGAGAAAGAAGTTTCTAAAGATTCAGGCTGACGATTCTATTGAACTTAGTGCTAATGATAGTTTAAGTATTAATACTAGTAAAGAGCAAGATGCAGCTGGACTCACCATAAAACAGCTTGACGCATCAATTTCTTTAGATCACTCGTATACTTGGTCATCAAACTCGTTGTATCATCCACTTGATCAGGTACAAAATTCTGAAAAAAGTTTATATATTAGTCAAAATTTAATGTCTTCCACTTTTCAAGAGAATTATAAATCAGAAATCGATGTTATTTGCTCTTCGGCCACAAAAGAAATCAATCAAGCTGATATTAATACGTCTGTTGAAACAAATAGACAAGAAAGTATACAAGAGAATAGTATGAATAATACATTTAATGTGGTAGTTAAGAAAAAAAGGGGAGTACATGTAAGTTCTGAGCCTAATATAGAAATCCTTTTACAGAGATCATCTGGCACTAAAAGCGGGAAAAAGCAATGGACAAACAATATCCAAAATGGAAATCTAAAAAAACCTATTGTTAGAAAAGGTCAATCCATATTATTAAAAAATACATGCAGCTACGATGCTATAACCGAAATTTTGTCAAATTGCTGTTCTGTACAGAGTTTCTTAGATTTCATGCACAAGTGTGTATGTTGCAAAAAGAAAAAACAAAACAAATATTATTCCAGTAGCTTAATCAATCATTACATGAATGGTGTCAATAAATCAGATTACACAAACCGTTTTAACCTACTGTTAGCAATATTTAAACCTCAAAATGGAACAGTCGATTGTTATTTGAGTCTGGGCCAAATGTTCTCGTATCTTATGCAAGATTATGGTAGTACGATAGAAAACACGAAGTGCATCGTTTGTGATGTAGAAGAAAGTAAAAAGGTTCTAATTATACCGTTACCACATGATGCAATTGTTTGGAAGGATAAATACAGCAGTCTTGAGCAATATTTGAATAAATATTTTACAAAAGACCCCTTCTATTGTCAAAACTGTTGTGTTCAAAGCATGGATGTAGTTTATAAGCCTGGACCATACCTCTTCATTGATGCAGAAGCTGCTTATTTTGCTGAAAAAAAAAATGTTATCACTTGTTTATCAGACATTCCAAAAGTTATCAAAATAACGTGCAGGGTAAGCAAAACTTACCAAACATTATTAGAGGAAACGCATACTTACGTATTAGGTGGTGTTATTGAGTATCAACCCGGGCACTACATTGCATACAATAACTCTTTAAATGGTACATTGCATGGAGGAAAAGAGATGGTTTACGAGACAAGTGTGTTATGTTAGGAGATACAAACTTACCTGCAATAAAAATTAGTGCTATAATTTATGTACAGGCCAAGTAAATATGTAGTAAAAAAAATGATAAATTGTGTACAAGTAAAAATATGCAATTTTTTTGTATACTAATTCCTTTTATTTACCCATTAGTAAACTGTAACGGCGCTTCGTTTCGGAGTTCTGTCAGTCATTTAACCGACAACAACAAACGTTTCACCAATGCATAATGCATTCCACTACCGGAGACTGAAGTCGATGTAATACCATGTCAACAGCCCGACAGCACCCTTTTGTGCCACGTGTTTTTTTATCGTTACATGATAGTAAAAAAATTTTTGAATTAACTTTTTTAACATATTTTTTTTACAATTACAATTTTATTTTCATATGTATGAACGTCGCGATCATGAGAGCCACTGGTGGCTGGTGCCAGTTTGGCAGACGAGACGACGCGTTCTGCGCATGCGTGAAGTAACCAAGTGTAGCCAACTCACAGCAACAAAAACTCCTATCTACCATTGGTTCACCCAAGCTATTTGTTATTTCATATTTTATTGATATTAATCACTTTGAATCTGCAATTAAATCATAGAGCAATTTGAAGCGCCCTAAGAGCAGTTTTTTCTAATAAAAATTTCTTTTAAATATTGATTATTAGCTTTATAATGACTCGCGAAGTATTGCCTGTTACCGGGCACTTTAATTTGCATTAATTAAATAAATAGAAAGGAGCAGTTTTTACTAATTGCATTTCTAAAAAGAGCAGTTTTTAATACGTCGATTCCATTAATTTGTTTATTGAATATTTAATTTTTCTCGGGCTAGGGTGGCGTTGGTGTGTCCCGTTTCCCGTTGTCCCGTAATGTAATGGATTACTATATATATTCTCTGATGCCATGGCAGTCATGGCACCTGTTTCTGTTATAATTACTGAACAGGTAAGGTTGAGGCTAGAATGCTATAGATTCTTGTATACTTACCGTTCACGGTTCACCTGACACAGTGACACC